GAGAGCTTGGGCCCAGCACATACGGAGCCAAGAAGAAACGAGGAAAACAGCCTGTAGTCCCAGCTACTTGGGAGGCCGAGGCGGGAGGGTCACTTGAGTCCAGCAGTTCAAGACCAACTTGGGCAATATAGTGAGACCCCATCTCTTAAAAAAAAAGAAAGAAAGAAAAGAGGAAAATAGCCTACACAAGCTAATAGGAGAGAGAGAAAGCCTAAGTTGGGACGAATGGCACTTTTTAAAAACTCAGAAACAAAAGCTTAGAAGTGTATTGGTCTGACTACTGGAAACAACAAATTGAGAGCGTGATGGTGTTTAGAATCTCTGTCCGCTTCCAGAACCCCCAAGCTGGAAGCAAGAGGTGACACCCACGAGAAGGCCGAGGCATGTGTGTGGAAACCTACACACCTCCAGACCAGTATCCTCCCCGTAAGGCACAGCCTAGTGATAGCTTCGTTCTCCAGGCACTGAACACCCCCATTGTGCCAGGGGTTTTCTATATATTCGATTCTCATTTTCAAGCAGTGGGAGAGGCGGGGGGGACACAGAGGCCAGGGGTGTGACATGTGCAAGGCAACATGGGTAGTCGTGGAGCTAAAAGTCACAGCCAGCCCCTGCACTGACTCTAGGTCTCTTTCCAGCGTGTCAGCACGGCTTCGGGGAGACGCAAACAGGAGGTTTAACTTCCAGGTAATACTCAGTGGAGACCAATGATGCTGGGACTCCATGGGCACCTGTCCCTGCATTGCCCAGGCCATGCGAGCCCCTCCCCGTGCAGCCTGCTGTCCTCCGGGAACCAGCCTTTAGGGATTACGTGGCAGCTCTTGCACCCACAGCCAAAGACAATGGACATAGGTACTTTCATGCAAAGGCTTTATTTGGAACACGCGTGTCGCTGAGCGGGCCGGCAGCCACCCTGAAACGGCCAGGGCATTTACATCGCGCAGAGAAAGACGAGCGCTCCTGGAGACATTCGTCTGTGCCTCACTGCTATTCCAGCTGCTGCTCTGCTCATTATTCTTCTCCCCCGCTCACCGCTCATCACCTGAATGTCCCCTCCGCTGCCCGATCTGGGGCGGTGACTGCAGCTGGCAAGCGGCCACCACCAACTGTGTCTTTCTAGGGCTCCTTCTACCCGCCTCGGGTACTTAGTGGTGACAAAGAAAGGATGAGCAGATGCTAGTTTCTGTGGGGTTTCAGGGCCTCGTCTTCACCAAATTTTAGAAATATGCATACATATTTTTGGAGATGTTTCTGCATAGCTTCTCTGACAGTCCTGACTGTGAGGGCTCGGACTTCGGCTGACCGGGGTGGAGAGAACTTCATTATTTTTATAGTCTGGAGGTTACTGCTTTTCTCCCTGGCTGGGACAGAGGGTTTTCACTTCTATGTTCTGCCATGTGCCTCCCAACTTGAGCTTGCCTTTGTCTCCCTCCTGCGCCGTGACAGTGGACGTCACAGACCTCGGCTCTGCGGCGGGGCAGGGGTGCAGGAGGAGGAAGAGGAGGGAGGGGCCGCTCCTCGTGCGCCCTGTGAGCCCGGCTGGGGCCGGCTTGCGTCTGGAACAGGCTCCTCCCCGCCCGCTGTCACTGGGACAAGCGGCTGGACACCAGGCTGCCTTTGGGTTTGAGTCTCGGTCTGTGAGCAGAGGCCACAGAACAAGGCCCTCCCTGTCCTCTGCTGAGCGAGCACGAACGTGACAGAGGCTCTTGAAGGTCAAAGCCAGGAATCTGCAGGCGCTCGGCGCCTCCCGCCCGCTGAGGAACCCAGGGACTGTTTCCACAGGCAGGTTGCTAGACCACGCCGACCTTTTCAAGAGGCCTCAAGCTGAATTTATAGCTGTAACCACTCCCTTTTTATTTCTTGCCAACAAAATATGCAGGCAGGAGGCCAATCTTCCTTTAATATTATGTTATCATCTCCCCCTTCTTAGCTTGGTGGGTCCCAGAGTGACCAACCCACGCTCCTAGAACAGGACCTCCCACCGAGCAGACTCCTAAAGGTCACTGGAACGTGTCTCTTAAATCCTGTCCTGGGTAGCAACTCTCCTCCCACAAACAGATGTAGAGAATCTGCAGTAAAAATAACAAAACAAAAAGAAAATGCAAAAATCCCCCAGGCCTGCAACAGCTTTGGCTTAGAGAAACACATCCCACCCCACTTCTCTCAAGATTCATCTCCCCTGCAGATGCGTCTTGGCTGAACAACGCTCCCAACACAAAGGTTAACTGCTCGTGAGAACTCAGGAGAGCGGGAGCGTTTCTCTAAGCTCAGACACTCAGAGAGAGACACAGTCCTGCTGCACTGGTCACTCTGCAAGAGATGCTAACCTGACACTCAATTGTGTATTATTTAATCATTTTAAACAAACAACAACAAAAAACGGCCCAAACATATAAACACAATCTTTGGGGGGCTGACAGGATGAAATGACAGGCTAATGTCGTCTTCCGTCAGCCTCTTCCGCTCCGGGCTGGGAAGTGGTTGTTTCAACACGTCAGCGTCACTGTTTCTCTTTCAGAAGCCCTGACCCAAGATGCAGCCACAGCAGGTCACTCTGGAGATGCGAGAGTGGTCAGGGGCTAGTCTCAGAGTCATCTGAGCTTCCAGCAACGACAGCCCTTCACCAACAGCAAAATGGAACTGAAAAAGTTCTTAGAATTTCCACATGAATCAAAACCTCAACCTACAGTTCTAATAAGGAAACCGGGATCTTGAAGAGCAGATTCATGTTTTAGGGGCTGTTACAAAAGAAATCCACGTAGTTACATGGAAATAATTCTAAAGACCCAAGCAGGGCTGGCTGCATCTTAGTGAGGCGTTTGCTGTGGTTTGCAGAGCCGTGAGGCTGAAAATCATAATACAGGTATTGGTTTTCAGTCATTCGGAACTTTTCTTCAAAGAAAGGCAATTTACCATCATTTCCCCCTTTTTTGCAAATCGAGAAAAGCAATACATTTCGTATGTAATTCCTCATACAATTTTTAGTCCAAATGGTCACAATTAGAACCTTTAATTTTATAACCTCCAAATTATTAAACACCAAGAGTAAATCATGTGTTCGAGAAAAAAACAGGAACAAATACAAAACATAAAAACCTTTTTTTCCAGCCACAAATAATAATGGAGTTATATATGTATGAGAAATATAAATAATAAAAGAATAATTAGTATTAGATTCAAAACCTCTGGGAAAGCTGTGTTTGATTAGAGGCCATTATTTGTCTCCGAATATAAAAGTTTAAAAGTCAAACTTTTAAGTTACTTAAATTTTTAAAGTGACCTTTTTCCCCTAAAAAAGATTTACACATAGGCTTGAATGTAGAAAAATTAAGGTTGAAATATAAGCAGTGATAATTTTGACTAAATTTAGAATAGTTTCAGAAAGATACGATACAAAAATTTAGAACAGAATAAAACAGAAGAGCATCCTACGTTGGTTTGCTTCAGATATATAAGGGTATAAAAATTTTTCTCTGGAGGATCCTTTTCTTTCTCTTGGGGAATAAGCTAAAATTTAGTCCTTTTGTTTACAAGAAGTCTCTAGATGGTATCAACACAATTTAAGAGGCAATCAGGACAGAGTTAATGTATATGTATATGTATGTATGCATGCATGTATGTGTATGTATGTACATGTATGTATGTGCACATACATGTAGCTGCGTGCGTTTGATTTGAAGAGAGAAACAGGATCCCACAAAGGTCTCCTGGTGGCTCAGCCCTCACTCGGTATGACCAGGGGACTGGGAGGGTCCACCAGCCAGACCAGGTGATCGGCCTCCTCCCCACTCAGCAGTGCCCGGGACGAGCCCCGCCCTGCTCGTTGCTGCTGCGGCTTTGTAAGAGCCGAATTCTGGAGAGGGGTGACTGTGAGTCGCAGGTGAAAACCAAGACTGCGGATAAGTGGGTTTGAAAAGATTTTTCAGGGCTACTTAGAGTCTGTTTTGTTCGTTACGGTCCAAACACACAAAGCTCTTACGAAATAAAATCATTCAGTACAGATGAGAACAGCCCCTGAAGGCCCAGGGACAGATCACCAATGGTTCACATTTTAGGAATCTGAAATGTCTAAAAATAGATAAGGTGGTTTCTCAAAAAGAAAATAAATAAAGAGAGAGAAGGGGAGAAAAGGGGGGCGGGGAAGAAGGAAGGAAAGAGGGAAAGCAGGAAGGGAGGAAGGAGGCAAGAAACCATTTAGGGAATGTGAGCTAACACGAAAACCTTACTTAGAAAAAAGAAACAAATGCATAAAAAATGCACACACTTTGTGCAGGTCAATGCAATATGAAATACATAGGCCTTGGAATACTTTTGTAATGGCATATACATATATATATAATGTCCCCAAGCACTTTTAAAAAATACGCAGAGACTAATTCAGGATCATTCTAGATAAAAAATACGTATTTCTTTAAAGGGGTGGTGGGGGAGGGGAGCAGAGTATGGTCTTAGGGCAGATCCCCAGACATAAAAAGATAAAACTATGTTTTTTGGTCATTCTAGTTGATATGGCAGCAAAAATTATTGTAAAGATGTTGGCTGGTTTTGAGAGGGTTATTTTCAAATATAATCTTAGAGCTACATTTGTACAAAAATCTTTGTGAAAAGTTTATTTTATTAACCCTGTGATATGTCTGCGTTGACATTTGCGAAGATAAATGTAACGGGGCCTCCGCTTTAAAGCAAAAGCGAACCCTCTTTGGGTTCCTCTCACACAAAGGGATACAGACTCTTAAATAAAATAATACTTCCTTAAAAATCTGCCACCTAACAATTGTTTACATCATAGAAAAATAGCATTTTTGTAAAAAGAAATATAGTTACTTTGTTAAAATGGTCTATTTTAAACCAGCATTTTTTTTTCATATAAAGAATTTCTAAATACCCATACAGAAAATAAAAATAGATACTACTGAGTGCAAAGCAGACCATGGCATGTTTGCAAGTGATCGAAGTACTTCATCACCCGATAAATAATACTCTTAGGATATTACAGTACAGCTTTACATTTTTTTAGGAACTTAAAAGATATTGCTTTTACTCTCTGATGGCAAGTTACTTAGAAGTGAAGTCACTTCCAGCAGCAGAAGGCCAAATTGATTAGAAATGGATCACACGTATTCATTCACATTTCCCCCGGAATGAAAGTGCGCAAACATTGGCAGTGGCCTATTCCCACACCCCTCCACGCGAGCACAGGCCGCAGGCCATGGAGACGCACCGGGGGACGTACGACATTCATGGTCCTTTCGGAATCATTCGCTCCATCTTCTGCGTTTAGGTTCCCACAGGAACCAGGTACCACCAAACCATGTGCCAGCCTGGCCGAACCCATCCGTCCGTAAGGCGAGTTTCTGTGGAAACTCTTTTCTAATTACGGGCATTCGATCTTCATGCTGTAAGAACAGATGGTTTCGACGGGCTAGCGCTCGATCTCCACGAAGCGATTCCGCGCGGATGGCGAGTTTCCTGGTGGCGGTGGGAGAGGATGTGTCGGGACGCTAAAAACCGGCAGTTTTTGGCCTCTGCGTGGGCAAGCTGGGCTGGCAGACCAAACCAGAGAACGCGCGATTAACAAGCAAGAGTGGCCCCGGCGTCACTGGCGTCACATCATACCCTTTCCACTCGGCTGGGGTCATACGAATCTGTGAAAAAAAAGAAAAGGAAAAACGGAAAAGAAATTAGTGGTTTGTTCAACTGGTCTGTTTTCTGTTGAATCCTCAGACCATACATTTGTTTAGGGAGCAAAATCCGCAAGCATATAAAAGTTAATTTTTAGACATTTCCACAACCTTGTTTTCACTGAGGAGTAAGAAACTATTGTCAAAGGCTGTTCTTAGGACACGTGTGGTCAGAACCCAAACCCACATGGGCAGTGCGAGCGGCTCAGTGTCTTCATGGCCCCTTTCTGTTCACCGTGGATGTAACTCACTATGAATGCGATGTCCCTAAACTGGCAGTCGTGTGCCTGGCTGACGCTAACGAGGAATTCTTTTCTTTCTTTTTTCTTTTTTGGCAAATTACAACTCTAATGAAAGCTTGCTTTAGAATGTGCATCTCTGTGATCAAACACTGTCCCTTGAAGGTGTGGGGATCCTGACATCCTCACTACCTAGCTGGCAGAGAGACACTTCCTGTCTCCCATAGCCACTGGTGCTCACCTGTCGGCACAAGGCTTCTAGAACCTTCACACACAGGTGTGTATGAGTCTGGGCCACCACACTGATACATTCTGCTGCCTGCCTGCACTGGAGAAACTCCAATCTGTGCCCAGATGACCTGGGTTTCCAAAACGGGACACCATACAAAACAGCAATAACCCTCGATTGCCATTTTCTCAAAAAATTAAAACTAGAACTACATTATGACCCAGCGATCCCATGGCTGGGTGTGTCCAGAGGAAAGGAACTCAGTACGGAAGAGAGATCTGCACTCCTGTGCTCGCTGCGGCATCACGCACAGCAGCCGGCACGGACGCAGCCTGGCCCTCAGCGCTCGTGAACGCAGGCATCGACGAAGAAACCACGGTGTGCGCGCACACACACTCACAATGAAATACCATTCAGCCTTTAACAAGAAGAAAATCCTGCCATTTACAACGACATGAGCACTCTGAGGATGTTTCGGTAAGTGAAATAAAGCCAGATGTAGAAAGACAAACACGGCATGATGTCACTTCTAAGTGGAATCTAAAATAAAAAAGTTGAGTTCATGGCAACAGAGAGTAGAATGGTGGTTACCAGGGGCTGAGGTGGGGAAAAGGGGAGAAATCTTGAGCTGTAAGATGAAAAAGTACCGGAACTTAACGCACAGTGTGGGGACTATCGTTAACAATGCTGTATTGTGTACCTGGAATTTGCTAGGAGACTAGATCTCAAGTGCTCTCACCAAACACTCAAAATAATGGGAATTATCTGAGGCGATGCTATATTAACTAGCTTGATTGTGGTACTCATTTCACAATGTATACGTATATCAAAACATCGTGTTCTGAAATATATATAATTCTTATTTCTCAATCATACCTCGATAAAGTTAGGGAAAAAGAGAAAAAAAGCAAGGCTCAGCACAGTGCAAAAAGGTGATTCATTACCAAAAATATCTGGAAGGATGGTACAATTTGATAGAAAAACAATTACAAAACAATCTTTTCTGAAATCCACGTGGGCAGCTGTGCATTAAGAAGGCCACAGAGACTCCAATTTCTCCAGCAGCAAAATATCTCACCACGTCCTCCTCATTCCTTTTCAACATGGCCCCAGGGCCTTTGGGATACAATGGGTACCACCACGGCAACGACCAGGACAGTGTTTAGAGCACTCTGAGTCAGACACACGGCCTGGAGGGGACGGCGTCCGCATTTGGGAGAGGAGTCTGCTCCTGCCCAAACTCCGTTAACTGCTCCCACGGCTGATCTGGCTGAGGGGAGCAGGGTTCACGCAAGTTAGCCGCCTCTAACGTCGCACCCTCCCCAGCCCCGTGGACACCACAAGGCAGCGCCCACTGAGCTCCGCATCTCGGTGCTCAATCAGCTGCCCAGTGTGCCGATCTCGGGGGCCCTCCTGTGAGCAACGGTGTGTTTTTCTCCACTGAGAATGACACTCGAGGTCACTAATGGGCGAGAATGTGGAAAGGTCACACTTGTGGCTCGTGGAAGGCCTGGAAGAGACTGAGCATCTACTGAGCCTCAAATGGCACAGACAAGGGGGACTGAGCAGCTGCCCTCGGTGCCGGGTGCACCAGAGACGCCTCCATGGAACGGGCCCGCTGCCCACGACCCCGCAGTGGAAGCAGGGGGGCCGGGACGCAGGAAGCCGCGGACGGGATTCCGCAGAACCGGCTCTTTCTTCAGCTCGTGGACGTCTGGGTCCAATAAAAATACACCGTGGGCCACATAACATTATTGTAAACTTTCTAGTAGCCACGTTAAAACAAATAAAAGGAAACAGGTGAAATTAATTTTAACGTTTACTTCACCAAATAGATCTAAAATATTATCAACATGTAATCAATATAAAATTATTGAGATGTTTTAGGCCCCTTTTTAAAGTCTTTGGAATCCAGTGTGTATTTTACATACATGGCACAGCTCAGTGAGCTGCACGGCAAGTGCTCGGTGGCCAGATGTGACATAGGCCTGCCACACGGGACGGCGCAGTGCTTCCCCAGAGCATGTACAGCCCTGTGTCCCGTGGGCTGTCTCAGCTGGTGACGACCCACGGAGGCCTGCCCCTGCTGTCCTGGAGGATGTGCTAATGTCTGGCCCATGTGGAATGATTAGACCTACCCAGATCTCCCTCCTCATCCTCCCCCGTGGGCCCAGTAACAGCGTCTGCAGCAGAGGCTGGTGGAACCAGCAGGCTCTGTGTCCCCCGTGGCCCGTGACTGCACTGTTGAATCCCATCCGGCAGAGATGGGAGTCTGTGACCTGAACTAGTTTTGAGCTGATTTCTTAGCCACAGCTACAAAAGACCACAAAAGAGGTGTCAGCTGCAGTGACCAACTTTAATCTAAAACAAAGGCACTTCGTGATAGGACTGGTACAATACAACACAGACAAAAAGGTTCTAGAAGGGTGTGGGGTGCAGGGGACTAAAGGTGGTCGCGAGTTCCAGAGTGGAGTGTGGTTTCAGTGGGCTGTGGCTCCAGCACACCGGGCCACGGGGACAGGGGTGGGGCGAGGAGGCTTGCACGTGACACGACGAAGTTCGGCAGAAGGAAAACCGAGCCCCACAGCTTCCTGGCAACATGCCACAAGGCTGTGCTCTAGCTAGTGAGGTAACAGTGAGTGGAAAAGGGGACACGCGTCAGAAGTTTTACTACCTCTGTTCAAGTGAGGCCCGGTAACCACCCCACGGAAGGCTCACGAGGGCCACCGAGCAAAGCGAAGGTCGGACAGCGTCCCCAGGGCTGCCCTGCGCTTCAGTCAGTCACAGGCCACGTAACAACACAGACCACACGTGCCACGCTGGCCTGTGAGCTTATAACGGAGCTGAAAACTCCCGTCACCCAGTGACATCATGGCCGCCGTAATACTGTAGCACGACGACTTTATTTATCAACTTAGCGTGGCCCACGTGTGTGTGTTCAGCAAGTCTACGGTGGCGCAAAGCGACGTCCTAGACCTTCACGTTCACCCACCACTGACTCACCCAGAGCAACTTCCGGTCCCGCCAGCCCCTTTCGTGGTCAGGCCCTCCGCAGGTGGACCACTTTTAATCTTTCGTACCATATTTTTACCGCGCCTTTTCCACGTCTGGACACGCTGAGGTGCACAAACGCTGCATGTGTCACAGCTGCCCGCGGTATCCAGCACGTGCCGTGCCGCACAGGTGCGCGGCCACCGCACAGCCCGTGAGCGCAGCGGGCTCCGCTGTCCACGCCTGCGTAAACACCCTGTGACGCCCAGACAGTAACGACATCACACACGACACATCCATGAGAGCACATCCCCATCACTAAGCGATGCGTGGCTGTGCCTGAGGACACCCGAGGTGGCTGTCCACATGAGTGGCTCTCCGCCTGCAGATCTGGGGCCATTTTATTGTATATTAACACATGCATCAGATGGGGAGGGGGAAAAATAATTAAAATTTTTAGTCGTTGGTAACTACAGTTAAAAAAAAATTAAAAGGTCACAAGGGAGATGTTTTTAATGGCTGGCTTTTAAAGTTAAAATTTGCATCATTTGGGGGTTTTCAGATACCGTCTGGACTCCATTCCCATGCCAAACGGGCAGGCTAAAGACTGAGGGAGTGCTTTACCGAGCTGGAAACTTCATGTTACCAAACGCTCTCTGAAATTGGGGTCCGTGAACTGAGACACAGAAATAGCTAATGTTTACAAACTGGTGTTTTATTATAACAGGATTTGTCTTATTTTAAAATCCTTACAATTCTCAGAAAGACGTAGGATTGATAAAGTCATCTTGATTTTATAGATGAGGAAACTCACTTTAGAAGCCTATGCCAAGTTTTAGCTGGTCCTTAAAACGGAGTGGGCGTATTTTGGGGGGTGGGAGGAGGCCAGAGCCTACAAAAAAAAAAAAAAAAATCCCAACAGCTCAAGAAATAGGCCAGGTGATGCTTTTCCACTGTAACGGCAAAGGCTCTGTGCGTTTGTTCACTTCCTCAGCAAAGACCCGCCTCGCCAACCACAGCACCCCACGGAGCCTGCCAAGTGGAGTGTTTCCATCACGTGTTTTGCGTAAGGGACAGGGCAACACTGGCTGGCAACCCTAAGAATCATACCGCATCTGTGGGGAAATTTAAGAAGTACCCAAGTAGATTTTTTTTTTTAATAAAAATTTCTGGATTCTTCCAGCAGAAACAACGGTTTGTTTCCAGGTATTTCCAAAGTCTTGGATTTCAAGACAGAAATGAAAAGGAGTAGGAGGAGCAGAACCACCTGTGGGAGGCAGCGCGGGCGGGAGGGGTAGCCCCAAACTCTCGTGGGGCAGTTTCCCTTACTGTGGAAAGGACTCCGGGCTGAGTGACAGAAGGTCCCTTCCGGCTGTGCTTTTACAATGCAGACCTTCTGATATTTATCTCAACTCTTCTTCTAATCACTTCTAGGACACAGAATTGATTGATTCCCAGCCTCTGAAGAAAGTATCTGAAAGAGACATGCCAAGAATTCTCTGGGTCTCCTGTGTCAACTGAGATGGTGGAATCTTGTTTGGGGAAAATCACTGCTACCATGATGGGAAACTGCCCTGGGGTTTTGTGAATCAGAGAAGGCTCCAAAACACACCAGGGTGAGGCGGACGGGGAGGGGCCCACAGACCTGCAGGACGCCTTGTCTCAGATTGAGTCAAAACTTAGCCGACTTTAAGAAACACAGCTGGTGGGTGGACTTTCTGGGGGTGGGGTGTTGAGAAAGTACAAACTGTTAATTTTGTCGAGTAAACCCTTTAAAGTCTCGTGACTGGTGTGGTGGTGAAAACAGAACAAATGGGAAGGCAAAGAATTCTGCAAATGCAAGACACGGCATAAGGGGACAGTTTGTTGAATCAACCCAGGATGTCATTTTTATGAGGTTAATAAAGAGCAGTGCGGGTTACTCGGGTGAACGCCTGTTATTCCAGGAGGAGAGCGCAGGGTAGAAATGCTGCGGTCTCCAGTGAGATTTATCGAGGTGCCTGCACCAATGCTGGAATTCCTCAATGACTGACTTCTTCACACGAAGAGGCCCAAAACGTTGTTTATGTAGATAATTTTACATAACTGTTTGCACGGATAATTTCTATGGAAATATAATCATTTAAAATATACTACAAGATCTTGATTCTTAAGGAAAGCTTCTGGGGCAATTTTCTGAAAAGGAGGAATCTTTCGATAAAATAACTCACAGGGTCAAACTCCGTCTTTTCTGAACATGCAGATTTACAGCTTCCACCACCCTGGCCTGCTGCGTGATCTAAGGACGCCAAGCACACAGGGAACACCGCCCTCCGCCTCACTCCTCACCTGGGCACCAGAAGTCTTGGTCAACGTGCTCGTCCTTTGGTGCTGCCGGACGCTCACCTGCTCCCCGAGAGACGCCCTCCTTGCAAACGGAGAGGGAGTGGCCCCCTCTCCACGCCCGGTCCCCGCCGCTCAGCGACACAAAGCCTCCAGGTGGCCCGGGCTGGCCCCTGGCGGCCTTCAGGTCCTCGGGCTCCTCCGGGGAGTCGGTGCTCCGGCAGCTGAGGAATCTCATCCGCGACACGGAGCTCACCTCCTTCATCCTCATCAGGCGATCGGGGTCTGCTCTCCTAGGTGGGGAGGCCAGTTTCTCTTGTAAACTCTCGATCACTTTGGAAGGGCTTCTGAGCCTCTTTTCCGAGCCCGCCACACTTGGGGTCCTTTCTATAAAATGGAACAAAGTGGACCTGAAGGGAGGTTTCACCCCCACATCCTGCTGATCGAAGGAGCTGGACTCCAAGGGGTTGAGGCGAGGCTCGGGGCTGGAGGCGTCGCAGGCCATGGCCCCGTCCACACCTGAGTGCTCGGACACCAGGGGAGCCCGCCTGGCACTGTCCCTTTCCCCCACGAAGAGGGGGCTCTCGGTCCAGCCGCACTTCCTCCTGCCATAAAAGGCGTCGGCAGGCACCGTGGGGCCATCGGACGTGGCCGAGCTGGACGACGGGTCATCCCCGGGGGACTCTGGGCAGCAGGCACTTGCGTCGGGCTCGGGAGGCCGGCTCTGCCCTGCTCTCCTGGTGCCCCGCAGCAGGGACTCCACAGCCACCTCGATGCCCAGGATCCTCGCAGCCCTCGCCTGCAGGGACTCGCCCGGGGGGATTTCTACTGCTTCCCCCAAAGACCCCTCCGCCTCGCTGGCGCTCTGCCCTCGCCCCACGGACCGCAAGTCTGGTGCCGAGAGCCCGCGGCTCTTGCTGGTCAGGGAGAGTGGGAGCACCGTGCCCCTCTCTCCCGCCCCGTCCACCCCGGGAGGGCCTGCTGAGCCGGGTGTCACAGACGTGGAAGCGCCGGGGAGTCTCTCACTTTCCTGGGGCTCCCTCGGCTCAGCGGGATAGGATGGGGACGCTGGCTTTGTGCCACTTGGTCTTGAAGACGTCACTCCCTGCACAGGTGCTGGGCTGACCACTGGCTCATTCACTGCACTGCCAACCTCCTGGCGTCTCTTCTCTGCGCTCAAGCTTATGTCTGCTGACCAGGGAGAGTCCCCGCTGCCACCCTCTGCCTGCAAGGGGCCCAGGGACGGAGGGCGGCCAGGCCCAGACTCCTCGCTCCAGCTCTCAGACTCATGCTCGCCTCTTCCCGCCCTGCGCACAGGGCCCTCCGGCACCCACACCCCCCGCTGCTGCTCAACCCTCCTCCCCGGGCTGAGCCCAGGGAAGCCGGGATCCCCAGGTCTGGAGTCGGCACAGTCCTCCCACTGCGCTTCCGCCTCACTGTCCTCACTGGTAGCGCTGCTGCCGCTACTGCTTTCTTCCCCCTCCTGAAGCTCCTTGTTAAAACTTTCCAGCTGACTTATCAAATCCCAGGGGCGACGACTAACTGGTTTCAGGAGAAACTGCCCGAACAGCTGTTTGCTGTTGCACGGGCCCGTGGGCTCCCCCTTCACCACCTCCCGCCGGGGCTCGGGGCTGGCTCGGGGCCCACGGCCATCCACACGGGGCTGACTCCAGCCCGCTCTTGGCCCAGGTGCCTGGTGTGTGGACGAGGACGTCCTTGAAAAAACACTGTTGCCAGATGGGCTGAGGGACCTTTGACCTTTCAGGTTCTGAGCATCTGGCCTCTGCCTGTGGTCACCGGAAGCCAGCACCGGGTGCGTCTGAGCTCCGGAGGCTGCGGGGTCCGGGCATTTTGGAGTGGGCGCCGTGTCACTCGACCCTGCCAGCTGCGCGCCCTGGAGAAGCTGTGAGCTCTGCGGTTCTTCGGGGAAACTGGTTTGCGTTTGCTGGTCGCGGTACTGGTGGCCTGGCCAAGAGCCCACGCCCTCGAGCGCTCTGTGCGGCGCGAGCTGAAGGAGTCTGAGGTCAACCGAGTGTTTGTCGTCTTCGGGCCCCCCCAGATCCTGCTTCTGGAATTCCGTCCTCCCACCCATGCTTCCCGTGAGAGCCTGCAGCTCCAGGTCGGTGGCAGACGTGCTCAGCAAGCTCTGCTCCTGCAGCGCCACGCCAGGGTCGAGCCCGCGCGCTCCGCCCGCGCCGCATTTCAAGTCATTGTTGTTCGTATCTGTGTCGGGCAGATGGGCTTCGGATTTGACCGGGATGGAAACCAAACAAAATATAGTCTCGCTTGTTTTTCTCTTTGAACTTTTCTTGGTCTGAATCCCAGTTTCGAACTTTTTGAACTTGGCTTGCGTTTCACAGGTACCGTCGCCCTGCGAGTTTGGGGAGGAAACCTGGCCCTCCGCGTGTCTGCGCTGGCTGCCCCCCACGTCCGGCCGCTGTCCTCTCGCGACACAGGGGTCTCTTTGGTCGGGGAGGCCGCTGTGCTCTCCATCCCTGGGGAACTGGTCCCACAGCCACCAAGGTCTGGCACCAGGGTCCCTCTCATCCCCTGATGGGGGTGTCAGGCTCCGTGGGTCCAGCATGGCACCCTCAGGCTGCATCTTCCCACGAGGTGGCTCTTGGGGAGTGACGGGACTAGAGTCACGTGACTTATCATCAAGCTTTGTTCCTTCGCAGAAGCCCTGCGGTTGAGCCAGTTTGATGTGTCGTATCCGAGGGTCGTCGAAGGGGATGTACTGAACGGAGCTGCTGTAGGCGGTGGCAGCTCGGGGGTGTGCAGGGGGCCCTCGAGGAGAGCGGGGGCTCGCACCGTACTCGCTCCCAGCGCCCAGGGGGCCGGGAGGAAGCTGACCGCCAGCCCCAGCCTTCTCAGTCAGAGGTCTGGGAGCCGTGTCTTCCAAGTAGGGGTTTGGGATGTTCAGCGGGGGCGACCTATACGACGGCGGAGGCACGTACACTGGCGGCTCCAAGCCAGAGTCGGATGCGCAGAGCTCGCGCCTAGAGACGTGTGGGTCCGTCTGCCGGCCGTCCTGGGGGTCGCTGTTTTCCACGCCTCTCCTGCTCGGCTGGTGCGAGCCATGAGACGGGGGCTTGAGGGGTCTCCCAAACTTAGGCCGGGGCAAAGGCACCGAGGCACCACCCTTCTCCGGGTGCCTTGTGGGTTCCAGATTCGGGGCACAATTTGGAGGACACGGTGGTATTTTTGGTAAACGTCCATCGCTTAGCGGAAGGGGAATGTCCGTGCAGCTCAGGCTCTCAGGGGAAAGGACTCTAGGCAACGACTGGGATTTCCTCTTGTTCTGGGAGCTCAGCACATGCTCTCCTCGAATGAACGGGTACAGGTCGTGGAACAATCTCTCCGCACTGCCATCAGACATCTGCCTCCCTACCTTCCTGGGCTGGTCCCAGCTCCCCAGGCTGACGTCCTGCCACTTGGCAGGAGTTGGCACTCTCAGCTCTTCTTCCCAAACTGCCTTCTTCACCACATTCTCGGTCCTTCCTCCGACTTCCCAGGGTCCCTCCCTCATGTGGCCAGGCAGGCTGTGGGCTTGGGCCATCCCTCTGACCTCCAGGTCCTCTCGGCCCCGTGGGCCCAGCACACTACTGACTTCACGTCCTCCTCTTCTCCAACAGACCTGGCCGCTGCCAGCCTGGGGCTGGGGGGACCACGCCGAGGTGGGCTGATTATAAAACCTGCAAAACAAAGAAGCACGGACATTAGGCACAGAAGAAACACGCTCTCCTCCCTGGTGTTTGAAACCACACTCGGGTCAGCACCTGTGAAGAATTGGTTCCCAACCACAGGACTTGCCAACCTCAAGGAACACATGTCCTACTTTCTGTGGCTGGAGGGCAGCCATGTGCTTTGCCCTCGGGGGCTTCCCACAAGAACACGGGGATGCTGGGTGTGCTCCAGAGACCGCAAGGCCCTCACGACCTCAAAATGCCCGAGGGGACAAGGGCAAACCGTACAGCAGTGTGGGTTGGACCACGTGGAGCGCTTTCCTGGCTCGGCCCAAACCTAGCAAGCAATCTCTGGGGTGTCTGGGAACCTGCCCAAGAGCGGTGGTTCTTACTGTTTCAACGAGCACTGGGACCACTGAGAGGGTCGCTGAGATGCAGATTTCTGGGTTCCATCCCCAGGTTCTGATTCAGTAGGTCTGGATGGGGCTCATAACCTGTGTGTCTACCAAGTTCGCAGGTGACACCTGACGCTGCTGGTCCTGGGACCGCACTTTGAGAACCATCACTGCTGGCTGCTGTCAACAGTGACTGCACACTAGAAAGCAGAAGGACGTTAAACATTCCAGAGCCTGGGCAGTACCCTAGATGCTGATACAGCAGAATTTTGGAAGTGGGGGACACAGCGGGTGGCAGCAACCACACGTCAGAATTTCTCCAGGTCTCCCGGACAGTCCCAGAGTGTAGCCAAGGCTGAGAACTGAAGCCCGGCAGGGTCCCCACCCTTCTCTGCTGGTAAGAACATCCAGTGGGCTTGTGAAATACACACATGACCGAGCCTCTTCCCCTGAAAGTGCAGATCCGGTGGGTGTGGGCGAGACCCCAGGCATCTGCGTTCTTAACAAGCATCTGCAGGGACCCTTATCCTCAGGAGATTTGGGGAATACCGCTAGGGCTGAGTGTGAGACTGACGGGAGGAAGAGGGGGTTCTGTTACTGGAGCGAAACTCTCTGTGAGGCAGGAGACGGCGGTGTCCAACAAGGACAGCTGCGCACCACCTGGCAACACATCAGAACTTCCTCAGACACCCAGGGCCCAGCCCCGCATATGTGCACTTAACAGGTCTAGAGAGGAGACGAAACCGGAACATTCAAAATCTCCCCAAACGATTCTAGCACGCGCCTAGAGTTCAGAATCGCGGTTCTGATGCAACCAGAGAAGGTGTCTGAGTAACACCACTACGCTGCACAGGAGTATTAAGCTGCTCCCTACAATGACCAGAGACAGGACTAGACCAGAGAAAAACCATTACTGGAAAGCAGCTCAGAGGACGCGACTGTTTTGACCAACCACGGACCAAGCGGAAGGATGTTTCAAGTCTGAAATTGCTGTTTGTTTTTTAAATTATTAAAGGAATATGCATTCATTGTTGAAAATGAGTGTTGGAAGAATACAGGAAAGTACAAAACCAAAAGTCGCCGTAGTCTGTCTACTCACAGCTAGTTACTCTGATGTACATCTTCCAGTCTCCGTGTGTGGGAGGATGTGGATTTTCACATAGCCGCAGCGGTCTCGGCAGTCTACTAGGTGTCCCAACACTTAGAGCACAAACAGCCGACACTTACACAGTAGTTCCTGTGTGCTGGGTCCGCAACCGCTTTCTGCACATTAACTCATTTAAGCTCTGCCCGCGTCCCTCTGAGGTTGGAACTACCATCGTCCCCATTTTCAGTGGGGGAAACTGAGGCACAGAAGTAACTTGCTTAACACTAACATTTATTGGGCACGTAGGCTGTGTCGTGCATTGTGCTAAGTATGCCAAATAAAGCACTTCATTTAAACTTTACAACCACCATTATTTCCTTTTACAGATAAGGAAACTGAGGCATGGACAGGTTAAACAATTTTCCCAAGTTACATACTCTGTAAGTAGTTGGGAAAGAATTCCAATCCAAGAAGTGTGAACATAAAGCCCATTCAGTTAACCCTGCATTTTACTTCTTTAAAAAAAACTCCTCAAGTGCTTAATTCTAATGGATGAATAGTATTCTACATGGATAAGATTAACTTAAGCATTGCCCAGATGTGGGACACGAGTGTGGATTCTGTTCTCGAATGCTTTGTTCACAAACACCCGATGCAGGTCTCAGGTTATTCAGAACGCACCCTCAGAAGGAAGCGGGCAGACTGTGGGGCATCATGTCATACGTATTGCCATGACCTTAGCTGAACCATCCCAAGGCACAGTCCCTCCCGCGGTGCAGAGGAGAGCTGGTCTTGCTTATTTTCTTTCCATAACTTGTCATTATTTTAACTTTCATTTCTTTGATTGCTAGGAAGGTCAATTTTTCTTTTTCATGTGCTTAGATGTCACTAAACCATATCTGGTGGTTGTAGATGATTCCTCCAACACAGCCTGCTTTTCAGCTGGGGCACAGCAGAGCGGGAACGTTAGAAACAGAGGCGCCCCAAGGCCGCTGTGCCGCGACAGTGCGCAAAGGCGGCCGGAGAGCCAGCCCATCGCACAGGCAGAGGCCGCCGCTCTGTAGGAGCCCTGGCAAAATTAATATCCTTATTCTTATTCTGGAATTACTTCTTTGCCTTAAAAGGCGAGGGCAGCTCCTCAAATCTTGTGTCCACGCCCACCCCTTGATAACTTATCAAGCAGCCGCTTATAGCAAAGCTTTAGTTATGGGCTGAAAAGGCAGAAAATATTCAAAGTCAATTTGAGGCAGAGCATTTGCCACTGAGCAGCCTGAATGCTTCTGAGTTTACCACTCCTGTGGTGCGAGCTGCCTCAGCACTGGGCGTGGTAGGAGGTCACCGTTTCTTCCTTGCTTTTGTTGTCACTGAAATCACCTTTTGAATGATTAGGTTTCGAACGCTGAGCAGGGCGCTTCCTGGGTCAGTTTCTACAGGGTTTAGTCATTTTGGGAGCTGCTGTGGTCTCCTTGCACGCTGCCTCCCCCCACCAGCAAGCACTCCCTTAGGTGAGCCAGCCTAGCAGCTCCAGAAGCCACTGTCCCTTCTCTTGGGGGCAGCTGTGTGACCACCTGTCAGTACCCTGAGAAACACTGTAGAAGACGCACCATCGAAAGTCTTCAGCACCTACTGGCTACAGAAAGTCCAAGGGCAAGACTTAAAAACCACAGCTTAATAAGATGTCCTGTTTGTCACAGATCCACTGTGGAAGTGGGTTCCTATGCCACAGGGCTTTATCAAGCGCCACCCTCATTCCTTACAGTCCTGTGAGCATCCCTCGGAAATACCCGACTTTCAGGACAAAACTGCACTCTGTGGCTTTGGCCCATTTTCTCAACTGACGCTCGGGTTCCAGAGCGCTGAGAGAGGTGGCTGGACCCCCGAGGCGCTACTTGTGCACGTACGTGCCGTGAGCAGAACCAGACAGATACAAAACGACATAAATAGGGCAAGAATACAAACAGGCTGTCACTTTCTACAGAGGGAACGTGGTCAGTCTTCTCCGCCCAAAATGTTACGTTACCACCGTAACTTGCTCACGAGCGACATACGTAACTGACCAAAATGGCTAAGCATTCTCGGTTAAACTTTCCTCTATTTGCACAATCCATCAAAATTCCAATTTAATGAAAATAACAAGTCATCTGGGAAATTTTAAATAATCTATTTTAAGATATAGTCCACGTGACATAGAAAACTATAAACATGTTCAATCAATAAACATCTATTTTGTACCCAGTGAGAGCCAGGCTCTGGCCGGCACCAGAGGGGACACGCGGGATCGCTCTGGCAACTTCCTCCTTCAGACGAGTCACAGTGTGGACGCCCTCTCGGCTGCGCCCCAGGACGCCCGCCACCAGTCGAAATGAGCGCGATCTCGCAAGCTCCAAAGCCAAGAGTATGTTTTTTAATACTTTTGAGGAAATCAGATGAGATTTTTCTTTTTAGAAAAATCAAACTAATAATTTACAGTTTTTTAAAAAAGTTAGCAATGGGACTTCTTACAAGAACATGCCGAACACATTAACACAGGCTGGGAAAAAAGACAAGGCCACCCAAGTGGCACGTGACAGCCACACGGACCGCGTCAACAAGTTCCCTGGCACGAGCAGGGCCCCACACAGAACTCCTGAGCCAACAGGACAGAGACGAGACGGGAGTGACACCCGCTAACAGCCCCGCATCTCGTCACAGAGAGAAGAGACGAGGCCAGTGAAATAACTGATAAAAACTTCTTGGGAAATATTCGAAACATGAACGTGTCTAACGGAAAATCAGCAAACCAATTCGAGCACATACGAGAGCTAATGATGAGAAGAGTCAGGAGAACTTTGTTAGCTCACATCGCTCGTTCTCAACCACAACAGAAAAACGATGCCCTGCTTTTAAAGCAGAGTGCAAGTGTACTTAGAATGGCAGGACCCGAAGTGGCTGTAACCAGTGTCCCACACGCTCTAATCATCTTCTCAGCGGACTCCGAGGGCCTCATGAGCCGCACTGACTGTTGCCGTCTGGGCAGCTACAGCCAGCGCTGGGCCGACGCCCAGGGACACAGCATAGATGTGTGGTTTAATTAAAAAAAATGAGTAGAGGTTTCTTGTGTGCCTGACTGAGCCGGGGTCCCGTGGGAAGTGAAGCAGACATCGCAGTCACCCTTCCCTCCCCCATGAACAAAATCCCAAACCTGGACCTCCGTGGGCGGCCCCCAAAGTCCAGTTAGTTGTCCTTGAGTGTGATGGGCAGGGTGGGGGCAGGGAGACTCCCCCAAAGCCATGTCCCGGTTCTGCAATTCCTCCTGGTGCCCAGGTCTGCAGTCTGGCAGGTGCCCACTGCTGTGGGTCACCTTCAAACCCTGCGTCACGTTCTGGATGGTTATAGCACTTTGCCCAGCCCGTTCCCTCAAAAGCCACTCCTCTTCCAGAGAGGTCGGGCCTTGGTACCCAGATGGACAAGCAGAGCATGAAGGTCGCAGCGATCACATAAAGAACCAGAAGGCCAGGCTCGCACCTGTGACCCCAGCACTTCAGGAG